CTTGCCATGCAGCCCCCATCGTTCCTAGCAGGTGCCAGACCAATTGCCGTAGCTGCAAGACGATAATCTGCATTCGCAGGTTGAGGAGCCCCAGGCCCCCAAACCGTTTCGGCTGGATGAGTTTGTTCTGTGCCACTCTGCATATAGACTCTATAGAGTCATCCGGCTCTGCATCGTTGGCCCACAAGTGTGCATGGATTGCCTTCTTGAGATATCTGAAGGTACGCCTTCCCGTCATGCACCACATACCATAGGGTGACAAGCATCGAGTTTTTAATGACGCCAATACTTCCCCTTGCACTCCATGTCTTCAGTCCAACCACCGCCCAGTTGCTCTGAGCGCCATCTGTTCGACTCCGCAATAACTCGGCGTTAAATTGGCTCCCCAAAACACCATTCTCTCCTCATTCCCCACTGTCGGTACATCCCACCCTTCTTGTTGGTCTGTTCCCCGGGGGAGGATGGCCTTTGTTTTGTGCCGATTGACCCGCACTCCCGAGTACTTACAGCAGACCTGCAGATCTTCTTTGAGGATGGCCAGTTGCTGGGTTGTCGGGGGAATCACTACCCCCACGTCGTCCGCAAATACAGTAGATTACAGCTCCACTATTGGCCCGGCCCTTAGGCTCTCCATTTGGTTGTCGGCTCTCAGTATGTCATGCATAGATTCGATGTAGATGACATAGGGGGCAGGGGAGAGAGGGTAGCCTTGTCTCACCGATCTGGTCGGTCACCCTCAATTTATCCGATCTAACCCCATCGACTTGCATCACCATAGTGGTGCCTGTCAACAGAGTATGCACCCACCCCCGGAAGATGCCTCCTATCCCCCTGTGTGCCATCCCTTGCAGGAGGAACTCCCATCGGACCCGGTCGTAGGCATTTTCCAGATCTATGGAGACAAAGGCCTTAGCCCTGCCCCACTTCCTCTTGCTCTCCCTCATGCTGTGGCTTCGATTGCTCGGTCTCTGAGCCCTCCGTTCTGGGCGAGGTCGAGGTATCCTCCTCGTCTCGGCCTCTCGACACCCCCTCCACTGACAGTTCATCCCTTGCATCCCTCGGTATGCGGAAGGCCTAGGGGGATGGCGATATGTCCCTTCGTCCTTGTAACCAGTATCTCGGTCCCAGCCCCTTCCCTCCCACCACGTGTACTTTGCGATCTTGAGCCCCGCTTTGAACGCTGTTGCTGGGCATGCGTTTTCCTCCAGGATTCTGCCGTGGCAGAGGAGTAGGTCGGGACAGGGAAGTACTCGGCCGATGATGATCCTCTGGCCGGTCCTGCCGTCGTCTGTTTCCTCTTTCCTCTGCTACCTTTCGGCAGTGACCCCAGTTTATCCCATTCCATTATGATCGGCAGGTCGTACACCTGCCGACCCTGAGTGCCTACTGTTGCTGAGCCCTCCGATACCGATTTTGCACTACTCGCCTCCCCTTCACCCATATCTTGCGTGGCTGTTCCCTATGTACCCTTCTCCCCTCCTGCCTCGTTATCTGTTCCCGTGCGATCTGTCCGTTCCCTCTTGTAGGTCTTTTCTCCCACAGCAACCTCACTCCCTCGACTTTCACCCTTTGACTGACTGTCCATCCTCACACTTCCCCCTATGGCTGTCCGTTCTACCTCCTCGATCTCCTTTCACATTCAACCCTTCCATCCGCGGCCAGGCTACTCCCCAGCCCGGCCACTCACCTTGTACAGTCGCCACCCTTCGCCCACCCTTCCCCCCCTCTACCCCACTCTCCTCCCACGTGTCTCTGCTGACTGCTACTCCCACCGTGCTCCCCAGCCTTCCCTGTCTCGGCCTGTTGCTCGGTGGTTGTATCCCCCTTCCCTCCCGGTCCGGGTTCGGCCGGTCCCTTCCCCTTCCCCGTCTGCCTATTAACCCCTTCTACTTTGTCCCCCTCGACCGGCTGCTTCGCCTCCCCCATTTTAGGCTCCCTATCTGCCTCTGATGGGCATTCCACTTTTCTTTTACGTTCCCCCTCAAACAGCCAGCATGGCTTGTCCGTTTGCATGGGGTCATCCCCCCTTCCGTCCCACGGAACGTTCCGCCAGATCCCCCCGCTCCGTCTCGCCTTTCTTCTATAGCCCGGTTCCGCAGCTCTCGCTCTTGACGTCTCCCCCAGTTCATGCGCTCTCACTTTCTCCTCCTCCATCAGCACTTGGTCTATTTGCAATTCCATCTCGTGCCATGCCTTCCGTTCCACGTCAGGGTCACACTGCAGTATTGGGGCCATGACCACTCTCATCTCCCTGACTTGCAATTCTTGCAGCGTTTCCGCATGCATAAGGCAGCGGCCCTGTAGTCCGAGGTGGCCGTGTGTGAAGCAGATCTCGCAGAAGGGGGTCGCTGGTGATCACTCAGACCTCTTCAAAACTATATGGGTCAGTGGCGCAGCCACTGTGTTCTTCAACGGACCGTCCATCACATACCTCGTATACTCCCGTTCTTCCTCCTCAAAGGCCTGGTCATTGGCTATCGGGCCGTAAAAGTACTCCACTGCCCTTCCTATCCACTTTACTGCCATAGGGGACGGTTTGTAGACCTTTACCCGTGGCCACCGTCGCTGCTTTGCCACCTTCGCTGCCTGCAGCTCTGCTGGCAATTTCCATGGGAGAAGGCTCACGTCGCCCTGTACCCCTGCCACCTATCCTTTGCTCTACGGTTGGCGCCACATATGTGACAGTTGTGTCCCCCTCCATGTGTCCACCTCCCCTCGCCTTGTCCCTCTTCCCAACGTCCATGCTTCTTCCACCCTCCTGATCCAATCACGTTTGGTCTTGCAGGACCAACTACTCGCACCGTCGGGTAACTTGCATGCCACTGTATGTGCCCTGGCATAGGTATTCTGCTGGTACATCACTTCGTTAGTAGGCCTTGTCATGCGAAACCCGTTGACCATCGTGTACTCCACTAACCCCGGACCCTCAATTGGTATATGCAATAGATATGCCCTCTGCTGTCTTTGCATGAGACGCGCCCGCTCCTGACGCGGCTGTTCCATTTTGACTCCCTCTCGTCCCCCTGTAGTGTTTCACACCTTTCTGACCTTCCACTGGCCGATGCTTCCGGCAGAGAGGGAGAAGAGGACAACAAACGAGGGGCTGTGACAAACTGTTTCGTCGGAGTTTCACCGACTCATCAGGAGGCTGAACCCTCAACAGTCTGTATATATATATATATATA